CTAATGTTCTCCCATGTAAACTATCACATAATTCACAATAAAACATTAAAAAAAAAAAAATAGTAGTACTACAATGGGCATTGTTTGTTTTCATGAAACAGGAGACAGTAAAGAAACTGTACAGATCTGGAGCGGACCCCTTTGTATCCTCAGAGTACAGTTTCCACCTCCTTGGAATAAGCTCTTTAAATGTAAATTTGGTGGGAAGAGTTTGAGGATAATCATACATGCAGGGATAAGACTATGATTCACACAGTTTCTCAGTGAGAAAGACTAGGCTTTGTTGTGAGTCTACCTTGTCTTTATCCTTAGATGCTTCTATCGCAGATCGCAACATTTTCAAGAGCAGGAGACCAGAGAACTCTTCCTGAAAACTTGGGTCTGGTGTTTCCCTATTCCATGAAAAACAGACAAAATATGGAAAAAGAAAAAAATCCATTTAAATGCATGCATATAAGAATAGTTTCATTTAGCATAGTTATAAAAACTTCAGGAAAACAGCTCAACAGATCTGTTAGGATCATACCAAAAACTTACTGTTCCTATCCTTTGACCCTGTACATCCACATGGAAGAATGTATATAAAAGGAATACCCCAAAAGGAGTTTTCAAGCATAAAAATGTTCATTGCATAGATGAACAAGTTAGATGTTTAATAACAGGAGAATGGGTGCATAGGCACAGATTGTGCAACATTAAATAACAGTGTAAAGTCCGGAATGCTGGGGGGCGCTCACAGGTATCACAGGTAAAGCTGAGCATCCAAAAGCATGATGCTTGTGTATGAGTGACAACAACTGCCTTTGCAGAGGGGACCTACAGGTCACGGTAGGAAAAAGACTTCACACTGAATATCCCTTTGCATTCAATGTTTAATATATTTTTTAAAACCTGTGGATATATTACTTTCAAATATATAAACATTCTTTTTTAAAGTAAGACAACCATTGGTTTTGGATTTCTACTTTTACATTTTCCAAGTTTTCTATAAAGTAGATATGATACTTAGTATCAACAATGTGTTTTATAGATATCTCAATATATTGGAATCCTGTGTGGCACAAACAGTTAAGTGCTCAACTACTAACCCAAAGGTCGGCGGTTCAAACCCAGCTAGTGGTGCCTCAGGAGAGAGACCTGGCAATCTGTTTCTGAAAGGTCACAGCCTTGAAAACCCTCTGGAGCCGTTCCATTCTGTACACGTGGGGTCACCATGAGTTGAAACTAACTCAATGGCAGCTAACATCAACTCAATACACTCTTAACATATATTGCATTCACCTGTTCACATCACTAACTGAGGGATCTAAAAGGAAAGGAGGAAACTTGGGTGGACAGTGTGCTGCGATTTCTGCTAATTCCTTTATGTTAAGGAACAAAGCTACCGTCTTTTGGGACCTCAGTCTCAGAAGTCACCCCTAAGAACATGAGCTGAGCCACTTACATGTTGATGATCAACGTGTCTGTCAGGTTCCCCAGGGACCAGGCTGCTTTGGCCCGGACATTCAGGGATTTGTCTTGAAGTGACATCAAGACTGCATTTGCAGTGTCTGCAACAAATATGACATCCTAGAAGATAAACAAAAGACCAGAGTTGCTTTAGAAGTTCACACTGTTACCTTGCAAATTCTCAAATTTATTTTCAGATAAAGCTTTAACCCTTTATCACAAATTGCTATTTGGAAATCAAAATTCACTTCTGACCTGCTGGCTCCTTATGGCCCGCTGGGTTCAGTAATTGGCTGGAATGACTCACAGAAATCATGGGACAGTCAACCTACAATCTACAACCTACAATCACGTAGCCTAGCTGACAATGATACAAATGAAGAGACGCAGAGGATGAGGTCTGTGAGAGGTCCCAGTGTAAAGGGATGTGCTGCCCTCCCAGAGAACAAACAGTCTCACCAAGCAGGAAGCTCATCATAAGCTGCGGTCTCGACTTTTTATCAGTCTCACCATGTGGTCATGAAACGTTACATCATGCTTCCTGAAGCTAGTCACCCTCAGGCGGCCACCATATGGGCCCTCTTGATCTGCTCAACCTCTACCGATTGGCCTCAGATGTGGTCCAGCTCTCAAGAACAACAAAGAAAGGGCCTATGATCTTCGCATTCTGTGCTTCAATTGATTTCCACCCCAGGAAACAAAGTTCTGACAAAGACATATTTTCCCAAAACACATCATATTCATTATGTATGTGGGAGTTTCAAAAAGTTCAAGGAAAAATGGAATTGAAAGATAATAGAATTTTGCCAAAAACTTTTGGAAGCCCCCTTGAACTTCTGGGTGAGATAAGTGTGAAGGAGAAATTCATTTCCCTGTAACAACTCTCCAAATTCTTATTATCACATGACACTGTCCATTTCATTTTTATTTAATCATGCAATCATTTAAGCATTTACTGGGAACCTAGGGTCTCAGGGAGTAAGTGGTAAGTAATGAAAGAATAAATGAATTATGTTGTTAAGTGTCTTCAAGTCGATTCGAACCCACAGAGACACTGTATAGGACTTCCTAGGAGTAGGTGATGAACTTGAACTGTTGACTTTGCGGTTCAAACCAACTTTGCAGTTCAGCGCATTAACCCACGGCACTATAGGCATTACCTTATGTTAGTAGCAAGTAAAGATATCAGATTACAAACAATTTAATTTCCTTTTACTTCCTATTGAAGAGCTCGAAAGTCATCAAAAAAAAGCAGTGCTATCAATTCCAAAAGAGACAGAGAGGTGTGAAATCGGCTCACTCTGACCTGTCTGAGACAGGGGAAAAGCACATAGACTCCAAGGGCCCGGGAGGTGGCAGCTTTCACCAAACGGTTCTTACTGTCATTGAGCCCGAGCAGCATCGTGATGCACAGGATCTGCCTGTCATTCTGCAACAAAGGGAAAGTGAGAATGAAGTAGCTATGAGTCAATGTCTTCAACATGTGACCAAAATATCTGTATCTGAGTCTGTCATCAGGAGCTGAAAAGAAGTGTAACCTTGAGGCTACCTTTGGTAAAGAGCAAAGGTTCAGTTCCGATTCAACTACTACCTGAGCACCCATTTTACAATGTTAAGTGCTGTTGAGTCAGTTCCAATTTATAGCAACCTTGTATAGCGTTTCTGAGGAGTGGCTGGTGCATTTGAACCACCAACCTTGAGGTCCAGTGCTTATCCCACAGCACCACGCCACTTTATATAGAGCACATATAATATCTGTTCTCACATTTAATCTTTATAATCATCCCTGGTAGCGACGTGGGTCACGTGTTGGGTTGCTAACTACAAGGCCAGCAGTTTGAATCTACCAGCTGCTCCGAAGGAGAAAGAAAAGCTGATGTGCTCTCGTAAAGATTTATAGCCTCAGAAACCTTATACAGGGTCAGGCGGGCAGGTCAGCACTGATCAATGGCACACAACCACCAACACCACCACTGCATTAAAACTGCCGTCTTTCTAAAAGCTTGTTATGTAAAAGATAACCAGACACAAAGGCCATTGTAGGCTAAAGAACACAAGCAGTTTGGACACCATATGTATTGGTACCCAGCTGTATATTTTCATATACTCTCTCTATATATTCTTATTTGAGGGACATAAAAGAAGGTAGAAATAATAAAACTAGATTTCAGAGAAGTTCAGATAATCAAAGGTGAAAGGGCTGGGATTTAAACCCAGGGCTAACTCTCAGATATGAAATCTTTCTGAAGCCACTCTGACTTTAAAACGTCCATTTCTAGTATCTACCTTTTAAAGCACAGGGAGGAAAATCACTCTGGATACATTATGGTTTTACTTTATGTTTTTCCATTTGCAGCTCCCATACACCCTCACTCCATTTCCTGTTCTTCAGAAATAATGCTGAAGACTGGCTCAAAGTGAAAAAGAATCAAATTCTAAGTCTGATGCCCTGAAGCATCATTAAATGATGAAAACACGCCCTAAAGTTACCGGCAGAAGGCTGAAGGCCTCTGGTAAGATGGAAGACAGGGCATCACAGGCGCTGGCTTGCAGAGTCGGGTGCTCTGAATTCTGGAGGGCTCTGGGTAAAGGCCCGTTCAGCATCATCGTCCAGAATGTCACCACCTGGAACAAAGACACAGCTGAAACCCAGCATTATTTGACAGCAAAGCTCAAATCATGACCCTAGGAATGGCTACAGTTCAGCTTCAGTGGAAGTCTAGAGAGGGAACTAGGGCTAAAGACTTTTTGTTGTTGTTTGAAAATATACTCAGCAAAACATGTAACAATTGAACAGTTTCTACATGGACAAAATTCCTTGACATTGATGACATTCCTCGAAATCATTCTCATCCTCCTTTTCTGAACTGTTCCTTTTGACTCACTGTTGTCAACTTGATCCCACATAAAGAGTTCTTGAAACAGCACAACGTTCAAGGCAGACCTTCTTTACTTGTGAAGCTAAACTACTATTTGGTTTTACGATTTCTGGGGATATTATTGGTTTAAGGTTTAAAGATGATCTCAGGCCGATATTTTCAGGAGGTTTTGTTGTTGTTAGCTGCCATCCAGTTGGTTCCAACTCACAGCGACCCTCCATACAACAGAACAAAATGGTGCCCAGTTCTGCATCCTCCACACAATTACTGTTACCTCTGAGCCCACTGTTGCTGCCATTGTGCCAATTCATCTCATTGGGGGTCTTCCTCTTTTTCAATGAACCTCCAATTTACTAAGCATGAGGTCCTTCTCCAGAGACTGGTCCCTCCTGATATTATGTCCAAAGTATGGGAGATGAAGTCTCATCATCCTGGTTTCTATATGGGGCATTCTGGCTGTACTTCTTCCCACACAGACGTGTTTGTTCTTCTGGTAATTCATAGTACTTTTAATCTTCCTCTCCAACACCATAATTCAAATGCATCAATTCTCTATGGCCTACCATATTCACCGTCCAACTTTCAGATGCATATGAGGCAATTAAAAACATCATGGTTTCAGTCAGGCACACCTTAGTCCTCAAATTGATATCTTTGCTCTTGAGCATTTTAGAGAGGTCTTGTGCAGCAGATTTGCAATAGGTCCTTTATTTCCTGACTGTTGCTTCTGTGAGTGCTGATTGTGGGTCTAAGCAAAAAAGATTGTTTTTGACAACTTCAATCTTTTTTTCATTTATCATGTTTCAGGGGAAGACTAGAGATTCTTAATTGCCTTCAAGGATGACAGAAATTGTGACGTGAAAAGAAGAGGTAGGATGACAAAGAAGAAAGGAAAAAACATCACTAATGTTGAGTTGATTTTGCTTGCGTACTAAATAGACCCCTTTTTTGTTTGAGATACATGTCTGTTCTCTAAAGAACGGACACAGTGTGGGGAAAACAGAAACAAGCTGAGATCCAAGGAATTATGGAAGAATCATGGAAAGATTAAGAGAATTAACATTGTGGTTTTTTTTAAGTATATGTGCCAACATCTTTCCATTTCATTCACTCTTCCAGCAGCCCTGTGAGTTAAGAACTATTATTTCTCTTCATAATAAGGAAACTCTGCTCATAACCACATAGCCCTAAGTGGTACTCCTTACATGTAATTCCAGCCCTTCTGACTCGAAGTCCTTGATTCTTCCTACTATTCTAGCCTGCTACTTGGGCATGCTGAATAACCAAACTAGACTGGTTTTAGACAAAAGAAATGTTGGTTTTTCCACTGCTGGTAGTATGTTCTATATAATCCTATCACATACTGAATTACAAATGAAACACTTATTCTTGTTAGTGTCACATCATCCTACATCACAAACCATCGTTTTCATCACTTGAACAAACCACGCCATCTATTCCACTTTATCACTGGGCCTCAAATAAAAGTGCTACAACTGAAACACTAAGAAAAACTATGAACTCACATGTTCTTACCAAAAGGACTGGCACTCTCTGGTTGGGAGCTACGGTAGAATCTGGTTTATTCTGTTGTATTAAGCCTGTCCCCAATTCTTCCAGAAGCTGCCAAGACAAAAAGAAAGAAATTATCATGGCAAAGTATTACAACTATGGAGATTACAAATAATATCACTGTAGTTTGGAGATCACCTCAAATTAAGGGATAAAAGAATTTCCAATTGTTTTTCTTTCAATTCTCAGTAACTCCTATCTCATGGGCGTTCTTCTCAGAAAAATCACCAACTATATAGTGTTAATTTATCACCAAGTCAATTCTTCCAGTTTATATGTACAAATGAAGATGGAGGAATCTCTAATTTCCTTACCAGAAATATCCGTAAAAGTATTTGTATTTAAACCTACTCCAAGAAATATCAGCATTGATGGATATACAGAAGAGGGAAGAAATACTACAAGCGTAAAGTGGAAGGGAAAAAAGCATGTATTTCTTAATGAAATATTACCTTTGCTCCATGAAGCTGAATGGATGGATCTGCTTCCCCCATGCACTTGCAGATCACCTCTCCAAGGTCCATCAGGTAGACCTGGGCCATTGAAAAGTAGCCCCTTGCCAGATGAGCCAACACCTGCCAAGAGAACAAGGGCAGGAAATTAACCTTGTGACCTGAATTCAGGGCTGTGATATCCAGAAAAGTGCTTCACTATTTCAGAAATCATTCACATTTGACAAAGACTAAAATCTGATATTGAATGAAATGAAGAGTGATCATATTATTTATTTCATGATTAAAACCAATGAACTATACCATGTAAATTTAGAGTGTTCTACAATTTATGAAATGTTTTTGCATTAATATCATCTCGTTTAGCCTAGGAGCAATTCTTTGAAAAGGTAAAAGAATGTGTTCAATGTTCTACAGATAACTAGCAATAGAATTTAGGATGAAGTCCATGTCTTAGGTCAGATATGAGTGTAGAAAAAGCAAGTATCTTTATTTAGGGTTACTTCCTTTAAGGAAACCTTTTTTTTTTTCTTTTTTCCCCCTAAGCTGATACAAGACCAGAGAAAAGTTTATAAAGCACTAAACATTTAACTTTAGTTTTCAGAAGTCAAAAAAGAGTAACAGTACAACTTCTTACAGGATTAATTAATTAAATACTTTGTCATATAATACCTGAAGTTACTAAAATAACATGCAACAAGAAGAAAAAGGAATGAATCTGACATTTGACAACCACGAACCCCTCAAAACAAAATAACAACAAAAATGAACCACACAACTCCCAACATCACACAGCGGCTGCTGCTGTGTGACAATCGAGGGGGTTCCGACTGATGGTGACCCTGTGTAGGGTGGGTTTCCAAGGCTGTAAATCTTCACAGAATCAGAAAGTCTCATTTGTTCCTGCAGAGTGGCTGGTGGATTCAAGCTTCTGACCTTGTGGTTAGCAGCCTACCGGAAAACCCCTATGTGCTCACTCCACATAATCACACTATCAAGAAGGAGTGGTTACTTCTAAGTCAAAGATGACGAAATGCAATCTCCTACCTGTAAGGCCTCCAGTCGCAGAGGGGACGGTTCATAGGTGCTTCCTGCTGTGGAACCAGCCTCACTACCTGAACAGGACTCCTCTCTGGGCAGTACAATGAGGGACATGCAAAGTCGAATGAGCCAGCAGGGCTCTGAAGCGCCCCTTGGTGAGTTGCTTGTGGTTTCTTCTAGAGAGGGTCCTGAGGGGGTTTTCTTCCACCAATCAGGAGGGCTCACATGAGGAGTTGCTGAGTTGCTATTACTGAGTCCAGAAGAGCAAGGCTGTTGTAAAAGTAGCTGGACTTCAGGTAAAGGTGCATGGGTGGACACTATAGCTCCCAAGAGCGTGAGGCTTGACACGCGGACATTAACATCTGCCAAAGGAAACAGCACGAACCTCTCAGCATGGGAACAGAGTTATCACCTCTAAGAAGCTTGACTGTCTCTGGGAAACAGTTAAGAATTATGGGACTCTTGTGTAAGCTGAATCTAATTAAATGTCTGGAGCCCTGGTGTGGCACTGTTGGACAAGCATTGGACTATTAGCCACAGGTCAGCAGTTCAAACTAACCAGCTATTCCTCGGAAATCCTATACAGGGTCTCTATGAGTCAAAAACAACTCGATGACATTTAACGACAATGAAACGTCTAGCCCTAACTTTCAGTTTAAAAGAAATGCACGGGACAGAAGTATAATCATCAGATGTGCCCAGTAGGTGAAACTTTCTACAGGACAAATGGCTTGGCCTCTATAAAAATAAGTCTCATGAAGGGAAAGAAAGTGTGGGCTACTCTAAGAGATGAAACTGACACAATCACTAGAGGCAATGTATGAAACATGAATGAATCTGGCTTTGAAAGAAAGCTATGAAAAGGTTTCTTGGGACATGTGGAGAGATCTGAATGTGGACTATTAGATGATAGTGCTATTAGATGGAATCACTGTTGATCTTCTTGGTGGTGGTGGTGGTGGTTATGTGCCGTGGAGTTGGTTCCAACCCATAGCGACCCTGTATATGGTTTCCGAGGCTATAAATCTTTACTGGAGCAGAAGGCCTCATCTTTCTCCCATGGAACAGCTGGTAGTTTCAAACTGCTGACCTTGAGGTTTGCAGCCCGATTCGTAACCACTACGCTACCAGAACTCCTTGTTTATCTTCTTAGGAGCAAGAATAATACTGATTTTCAAGAGATAGTCTTTATTCTTAGGAGATGTGTGAAGTATTTTGGGGTGATGAAATATCTTGTCTTCAATTTACTTCCAAATAGTTTTGGGAAAAACAGTCATATATACACATACATGTAGACAGAGAAAAAGCGAGTATGATAACATGTTAGCAACTGGTAAACTAGGTAGAGATACACAGGTGTTGACTGCACTTTTCTTTTGAGTTTTATGTGGATTTATTTTTTAAAGTAAGAAGTTACTAAGGGACAATGCCAGACATGTGAAAGGGACCTTGGAGACATGGTTGATTCCTTTCAGTTTACATAAAGTGGAGGAGTGGATTAAGTCAAGAGGTTTTCACCTCACTTCTGTCATTAATGTGATGTTGTTGTTAGGTGCCATTGAGTGGGTACTGACTCATAGTGACCCTGTGCCATCCTCACAATTACTGTTAAGCTTGAGTCCGCTGCTGCCGCCACTGTGCCAATCCATCCATTGGGATCTTCCTCTTTTTCACTGAACTCCCACTTCACCAGCATGATGTCCTTCTCCAGGGACTGGTCCCTCCTGATAACATGTCCAAAATGTGAGAGATGAAGTCTCACCATCCTGGCTTCTAAGGAGCGTTCTGGTTGTACTTTCAGATTTGTTTGTTCTTCTGGCAGTCCATGGTACTTTTAATATTCTTCTCCAACATCGTAACTCAAATGCATCAATTCTTCTACAGTCTCCCTTATTTATTCACTGTTCAATTTTCAGATGCATATGAGACGACTGAAAATACCTAGGCTTGGGTTAGGCACACCTTAGTATCCTCAAACTGATTATCTTTGCTCTTAAACACATTACAGAGCCCTTGTGCAGCAGATATGCCTAATGCAATATATCATTTGATTTCTTGGCTGCTGTTTCCACGAGTGTTGATTGTGGGTCCAAGCAAAATGAATTCTTTGACCATTTCAATCTTTTCTCCATTTATCATGATGTTTACTGGTCCAGTTGTGAGGATTTTTGTCTTCTTTACACTGAGGTGCAGCCCATACTGAAGACTATACTCTTTGATCTTCATCAGTAAGTATTTTAAGTCCTCTTTGATTTAAGCAAGTAAGGTTGTATCATCTGCCTATTGAAGGTTGTTAAGGAGTCTTCCTCCAATCCTGAGGCCACATTCTTCCTCATATAATTCAGCTTCTCAGATTGTTTGCTCAGCATATAATAAGTAATGGTGATAAAACAACAACAAAAACAACCCTGGCAGACACCTTTCCTGATTTTAAATGATTCAGTAGCCCCTTGTTCTGTTTGAATGACTGCCTCTTGGTTTGTGTACAGGCACAATGAAGTGTTCTAGAGTACCTATTCTTCACAATGTTAGCCATAGTTTCTCATGATTCACACAATCAAAAGTCTCTGCATAACCCATAAAGTAAAAGTAAGCATCTTGTATTCTCTGCTTTCAGCCAAGATCCATGGACATAAGCAATGACACCCCTAGTTTCACATCCTCTTCGAACTCTGGCTTGAATTTCTGGCAGTTCTCTGTTGATGTACTGTTGCAGCTGTTTCTGAATTATCTTCAACAAAATTTTACTTGCATGTGTTATTAATGATATTATTTGATGATTTCCTCATGCCACTGGGTCACTTCTCTTTGGAATGGGCACAAATATGGATCTTTTCCAACCAGTTGGCCAGATAGCTGCCTTCCAAATTTCAACACCTCCAGTGTTGTATTTGTTTCTTGAAAGATTCAATTATTGGAGCCCTGTTTCTGCCAATAGCTGTAGTGTAGCTTGGACTTATTTCTTCAGTACTATCGGTTCTTGATCATTTGCTACCTCTTGAAATGGTTGAACAGAGACTATTTCTTTTTGGTACAGTGACTGTGTATTCCTTCCATCTTCTTTTGATACCTTCTGCATCATTCAATATTTTGTCCATGGTGGTGGTGGTGGTGGTGGTGTTTGTGTGCCGTGGAGTTGGTTCTGACTCATAGCGACCCTGTATAGGGTTTCGGAGGCTGTAAATCCTTACAGGAGCAGAAAGCCTCATCTTTCTCCCGCGGAATAGCTGGTCATTTCGAACGGCTGACTTTGAGGTTAGCAGCCTGATTCGTAATTACTATGCTACCAGAGCTCCTTATTTTGTCCATAGAATCTCAAAATTGCAAGTCAAGGTCCAAATTTTTTCACAGTTCTTTCAGCTTGAGAAATGCTGAGCATGTTCTTTCTTTTGGTTTTCTAACTGCAGGTCTTTGCACATTTCATTACAGTACTGTGATGAGGGACCCCGAATGCAAGATTTACCTTTCAGGAATCCACTTTATACATTAGTGGAAGGAGCGAACTGGGCTGAGTTTCCATCTCATTTGAGCTCAAAAAAATCCTATGATATAGGTGTAATTCTTCCTATAGGAGGATATTTAGGTTCAGACAGGGCCATAGCTACTAGAAAAAAACAGAACTGGGCCCGAGACCCTCCTTGGACAGCTCCAGCTGGCTCCCGTGCTCTTTTCACGGTGTCCCCCAAAACACCCACACTTCTAGTTCTGTAATTCTGACAGGATGACTTAACATGTGGACTGATCCTAAAGTCTACAAAGAACCCACACGTATCCTAAAGGCAAGTAGGACATATGAGAGGTTTCCAAAAGTTTGTGGAAAAACGGAATTATAAGATAATGGTACTTTCCCATGAACTTTCTAAAAATTCCCTCAGATGTGTGGGAGCAAGTTAAGAAATAACAGAAAGTAAGACTCTGGAGTGAGTTAGTAGGAAATTTGAAGTTCTGGAATCTTATTTGAACTTTAGAGGTGATAATGTTAAAGAAATTAGTCTTTGTATTCCAGTTTCTTTTTCCAAAAATAGCATATCTATTCATCCGTCCAGTCAGTCATCCATGCTTGAAGGATATAAACTATGATACATTAGAGGGGAACTCTCTGGCTCAGTCCTAAATCTACAGGGATACTTTGCTCACTGCATGAACCATGAAAGAGGTACTAAGCTTTGCAATTAATTCTCTGTATCACTTTCTTCAAGGGAAGTCTACTAGGATTCAGGCAACAGTTGTGCCCTTCCACAGTTGTAGGGAGTAGTGAATTTATTAGAACTGTAAATACAAAGTAAATGTCAGTCCAGGTTCCTATCTCTCCTTTGTTGTTATGTGCCATCAAGTCAGCTCTTACTCATACCAACCCTGTATAGAGTTTCTGCTGCCAGAGCTCCTTACCACCACCACATAGGACCCAGTAATTTAATCAAACATTAAATAAGGTGTTGCTGTGCAAGTGTTTTATAGATGTGCTTACCACCTACAATCAGCTGACTTCAGGTAAAGGAGATTACCTAGATAGTGTGAAAGGGCCTCATTCAATCAGCTGTAGGTCTTAAAAGCAAAAACTAAAATTCCCCAGAGAAGAAGAAAAACTTCTGCTTCAAACTGCAGCATTAATTCCTGCCTGAGATGCCAGCCTGCTGACCTGCCCTACAAGTTTCAGACTTGCCAGACCCTCTGTATGTGTATGTAATAATATCCTATTGGTGCTATTTTTCTGGGGATCCCTGAATGATACCAACCTTTGTGGCGGATATAAGGCTTTATTTGATTCCAGACTTTGGTCAGCAGGCTGAGTTTCAGACGGTTGTAAGGTGCATTTGATACTAAATTTGCAAGGCACTGCAAACACAAATGAGAAAACAGCCCATCAATAATAGTAAGCCACAGCCTAGACACAGAACCGTATCGCATTTACTTTTTAAAAGTTTTCACTAATTTAAACATCAGCCTTTTTTGGGGGAATGTGGAGGGTAGCACTTGTATTCTCACCGGTACAACTTAATACTAAAGATAAAAGAGAACTTTAATAAGTGATTTATTTGGACATATAGATTGTAAGTAAGATCAGACAAGTTGATGAAGACTTCCAAATAGGGTAACTTTAATAAAATCACTACATTTAATTATATTCTTAAGTCAAGTTACTTTTGGACAATGTAAATCATGATACAAAATTAAAAGCAGAAAAAAACCCTTTGGAGCTCACAGATAACTTGACAATTTACCTTAATGATCTGAGTAAGCGTTTGTGAAGAGGACTCTGCCACTAAAGCCAACAAAAGACATCTGTGTAACTCTTTAATGCTGGAAGCGATCATCACAGAGAAAGGAGTAAAAGCCCGTCTGTGGTCACTGGTATCTTCAGCAACAGAAAGAAACTGCTTGGACCCTTCCAAGATGGCAGATAAAACTTGCAGAGCACAGGCTCGTGTCTGAAATTTCAGGATTCACATCTGTTAGTTAAAAAGCAGGAATGGGTTCCTAGTTTTCTATACATTTATTAATTCTATATATAAAATAACTTTAATTAGAAAAACAAAGAGGATGAGATTACCAATCATAGCTGAAAGCACGCATGAACTACTGTATTTTTCACATATAACACTCCCATGGAAATAGAAGCACACACACATACAATGCACACAGCACACACAGGAAACTAAAGCAAGGTCTTCAAAAAACCATATAAAATGCATGTTATGTACATAAAAATATGGTAGATCATTTACAGCAGTCACCTAACAAATTACCTTAAATCACACTGCTGTCAGGCTTTCTTATAGTAAAGAGTACATTTTAGCTATGTTGTTGTTTAGTGCCGTTGACTCAGTTCTGACCCACAGCGACCCTGTATAGGGTTTTCAAGGAGCAGCTGGTGAGCTTGAACCGCCAACCTTGCATTTTAAACCGACTTTGCAGTCCAGCGCATTAACCCACAACGCCACACCAGGACTCATTTTGCCTTTTTAGTTTTAGCTATATCATAGTAAAAATATCTGAAATTTTGAGCAAGAGAGGGGCTGTGTGCTGACGACCAGGGGGAAGGCTTGCAGGGTATACCCTTTGGTTGGTTGATGATGCATGGAGGGGATTGTAACTATGGCAATGAAACGATATACGATAGGATGTATGTAAAGCTAATGTTCTCCCATGAAAACTACCGCATAATTCACAAAACATTAAGAAAAAAATTTTTTTGAGCAAGAGAACATCAAGATTAGAGATCTGATTCATTCAAGTATAAGAGTCCAACTGAAAAGACAGAATTAAACAGTCCAGGAAGAAGACAAATACACTCATCTAGAGTCTGTTTACAATCAAACTTTTTGAGGACATTCTGCTGTATATTTTACTCTGAAGCATCTATGAGTGCACAAAGTTAATTAACTTATATAGCATTTTGGTTCTTTTCCCCCCTTGAGAGATAACATCCATATAGAAATCTGATACTGTAGCAAATTACACTTGTTTCAATTCTGAATTAATTTCCTTTAAAATCTTATTTAATGGACATATTTGTTGTGGCAAAAATGTTATTTACAATACTGAATCTGGTTCAAGTTGTTTCATTTATCTTATATCAATATGCAATAAACTGTTTGCCAGTTCTAATCAGCAAGTTCAGCAGAAATCACGGATGTACAAGTATAGGTACAGCTCTCCAGAGAGCTCACTTTGTTGAATACACTTTACTGTCTGAGCCTTTATAATGACAGATGAAAGGCTGTCTAACTGTACACACATCAGAGGGTTTTCACTTCCTTGGGCATGAAGCTTGTCCAGAGAACAGGAAAGCATTTCTCCTCTTTTGGTCCTTAAAATTGTAGCAGAAATGTGTACTACGGTAGCTCAGTCAACCCTCATGTTTTTCTTTTTTATGTATGTTTGGTCTCAGAATATTTCTGGATGGTGGTATTTTGAATGGATACCATAGAAGTTTCAATGCAGGGTACCTGGCTATCTTCTTCTTTGGTTTTGTCCAAGTACTGATTATTCTTTACATGTCTCAGGGTTAATTTGATCAGTTCACACTGCTAGTCTTTTAGGAAGCATTTGAACATTGTTTTCAGGGCCTTCAGATTTGACGCACATCCAAGCTAAGGTTGTCTGTTTCAAGGTCTTGGAAGGCCATCTATGAGAAAGTCTAGACATACGTTTATCCACCTATTCTAGACAGTGGAATGTCTACCCTTCTATTACAGCAACAAATCCTATCCTTTTCAGGCTGTGTTACTAGTTATCTATCTAGATTTTAATTTGTTTCCACAGTTCTAGCTCTCCAAAACAGAAATAATTACCATAGAATTTGAAAATCAGAATAAAAATTTTCAACAGAAAAGTCTGTGTTTTAGTGTGGTCCTTGGAACAAGTCTTGATGCTACATCTCCACAGTATACCTTTGTAATACCTCAATCATACAGAAAAAAACTCTTAGATTACTCATCTGTTATCTTTATTGGTAATCTGCTCTGTGGCTCCTGGGAAGACCAGGTGTGCTTTCTAAAGCACACACGCAGCATGTAAGCGTCTGATAACTTCCCAAGTCTCATCACACTGCCAAATCCTATGGAAATTTATAAATTTTCTCCTTCGCAACCCATTCTAGCATCTTAGGTTCTAGGTTCCTAACAGTAATCTCTGTCTCGTAGTGATCATCTTCACTGAAAGTCCAATCATCTTTCTGTCTTTCCATTTGTCCTGGTGTGGCACTGTAGGATCAGTACCAGACTATGAACTACAAGGTCGTCAATTCAAACCCACTAGCTGCTCCTCGGAAACCCTACAGGGTCACTATGAGTTGGAACCAACTCAATGACACTTAAAGGCAGAAACAATCCTTATCTGATTAAAAGACTAATTTTCAGGGAGGAGTTAATATCCAAGAAGAGGTAAATACAAGATATTTCTAGCTACCCACAACTGCCAAGCCATTTATTTGTCTTTTTTTTTTTTAATAAGTTTTTCTTATGTAAATGTGTAAATATTACTTGTGATTTGAAAAACAGAAACAAGTTTTTAAAAAGTGATCATACTGTATATACAATTCTATATCCTGTGTTTTCATAAAACAGAAGCATCTTTCTAAGCCTTACTCATCCTTCAAAACCACTATTGTCTAAGCCACGCTATTATAAACAACACTCCACTCTACATTTTCATAAAAGAAAGAGAAGCTCAGCTACTTCCGTTATAACTCAGTACGCTCAAGCATTAAGGCAGCTCTGGGGCAGGAGGCTACCCAACGTTTGACTCTTGGTTCCTGTCTCCCTGACTGTTATTTAAATAAGCCCATTTCCTATCCTCCTGGCTGCCCAGTGTTCTAAAGTAAAGATTTGGGTTAATATTAAGAAGAGATAGTTCTGACAGATTTACTCAGCCAAGAAAAATAATGGAGTTTTTACACTAATTTGTCATTTTTTTCCTCCTTATTATCAGGCTTGGAGTCCTGGTGTGGCACTGTGGGTAGT